ACAACATACGTCATAGTTGAGAATAATGTACAAACGTATGCATAGCTAAGAATAACAAAGCCAGGCCGTGGTGGCACACGCCTTTAACCTCAGCACTCCGAAGGCAGAGGCAGGCGGATATCTGAGAGTTCAAGGCCAGCCTGGTCTACAAAACAAGTTCCAGAACAGTCAGGGCTACAGAGAAACCCTGTCTTGAAAAACCAAGAAAAAAAAAAAAGAAAGAAAGAAAAGAAAAGAAAAAAAGAAGAAAGAAAAAAGGAAGGAAAGATAAACAAACAGAGAGAGGCTGGAGAGATGGCTCAGTGGTTAAGAGCACTGGCTGTTCTTCCAAAGGATCCAGGCTCAATCCCCAGCATACATACACCCTGTGTTAGCTCATAACTATTTATAACTCCAGTCTTGGGATCTGGTGCCCTCTCCTGGCCACTAAGGGTACCAGACACACATGTGGTACACATACATGCAGGCAAAGCACCCATATACATAAAAATATATAAATACATAAATAAATAGAATAACAAAAAATAAATTTAAAACAAATAACTGCCTTTAATCTGAGGATAAACTTGGGAGGCAGAGGCAGGTAGATCTCTGTGTTCAAAGCCAGATTTGGCTTTCTAGGGAGCTCCGGGCCAGTCAGGGTTAAGTAGTGAGATCCTATCTCAAAAATAAAATAAAATGAAAAAGAACTTCCCTAGGAAATATAAGCAAAGCAAATAGGTTCCCAGTTTATTACTTCCAGGATAGAGGTTGAGTTCAGGGCCCTGTACATGGTAAGTGGTCAACCTCTGAGCTGTACCTCCAGCCACCTTTTAACTTTATTTGTTTTTGTTTGCTTAAGAGAGGGTCTCAATCTGTAGCTCAGGTAGACCTTGAATTTGTGATCCTCTTGCTTCAGCCTCCAAGTTTACTGGGATTACTGACCCCTGAGTGTATGTAGGTCTGTCTGTGTGCACAGTTGGCCATCAAGCCTCAGGTCTGCCTCCCCAGTCCTGGAATTGCAGGTACATGACGTCACACTGGGCTGTCTATATGGGTTCTGGGAAATCAAGCTCACGCTCTCATCTTTGTGTGGCTCAGTCACCTTCCCAGGCCCTGGCTTTCATTTCTCGTTTGTTTTTTTTTTTGGATACCAGGTTGCACTGTGTAGCCAATCTGCCTTCAAACTCTGAATTCTGCTGTCTTAGGCTCCTGAGCACTGGGGGTGCTCCAGATCTTTCTCCCCAGAGTGGACACTGGGGACCTATTAGGAAGGACCTTTCAAGTCGTCTCCCATGCTTGAGGCTAGCAAGATAGAAGACAGGGGAACATATGGGTGGAGAGATGTGGAGAGATTTAAAAACTGCTAGGACTCAGGTTAACTGTGGTAGGAGGCACACCCAGCATACACGACTCTGGGCTTCATCCCCTGCACTAGAAAACAACAATAACAAACAGTTAGAAGACGTAGTCTTAGGCTGAATGGTGGATGGGTGATGGGGGGGGGGAGTCAGAGGGCAGTGACTATTGCCTGGCACTGGGCATGACTCCTGGAGCCCTCTTCAGTCACGAGGAGCTGTTCGAGGCCGGCCTTCCAGGATCACAGCTGATTGACCGGCAGCAGTAGGAAAGTTAGTTCTCTCCCTGTGCTTTGAGATCCTCACCTGTAAACTGGGACTCCTGAGAACATCCCAGAGCACTGCTGTTACGCACTGGTTCTCAACCTTCCTAATGCTGCGGCCCTTTAATACAGTTCCTCGGGGTTGTGGTGAACCCCCAACCATCAGATTATTTTTGTTTTGTTACTACTTCGTAACTGTAAATTTCCTCTTGCTGTGGATTATAATGTAATTTTTTGTTTGTTCATTTGTTTGTAGCTTTGGAGCCTGTCCTGGATCTCGCTTTGGAGACCAGGCTGGCCTCAAACTCACAGAGATCCGCCTGCCTCTGCCTCCCGAGTGCTGGAATTAAAGGTGTGCGCCACCACGGCCTGGTGTGTAAAATTTTTTTTTTTTTTGAAGATAGAGGTTTGCTGAGGGGGTTGTGACCCACAGGTTGAGAACCTCGGCTGTAAGGCTTAACCTGCGGGATGCTAGGTGTGTGGATCTGGAGATAGATTCTGAGGTTAGAGGCTTGGGCTTGGTATTCAGGGCTGGGTGCTCAGGCCTGCTTCTGGGTGTTACCGGGGTTCCGATGTCCTTACTGCTCTTATGTATAAAAAGAATGATATGGTAGAGCGGGGGTCCCTGTCCCTGTCTGCGATTGATAACCACTGCAGAGTCGCTTTGTTTGTCTTGTTTTTTAACTCCAAAGCCCAAGACGAACCCAAGGCCAGTTAGACAACGATCTCTCTGGTATGACACAGGTTCCAGTATATTTGATGCCCCCCAAGTGGTTCCAGGTACCGAGAAGTGTGGGGATTACTGGGAAAGTGAGAAACAAGACTTTGGAAAGGTCTGTGGCCTGGGCCGCACCAGCTTGGAGTGGGGGGGGGGGGAGGTCCCCGGAGAATGGCTACCGACTCAACGCTAAGTGAAGACTCCTCCTGTATGTCAGAACCTGGGGTGCAGGATGGTTCAGCGGATAAAGACACCGGCTGCCAAGCCCGATGACCCGAGTTATTCCCATCCCCTGGTCTCACACCATGGATGGAGAGAATGAACTTCTGCATGAATGACCTCCACAGGAACTAGGCAGGGAAGGTTCCAGCAGGGTCCCTGAGCTTGTTAGGTACATTGGCTTCTCCATGACTGTGGTTGGAGAGGATGGGGTAAAGACACGACCCCGGACAAGCAAGCTGTATATACAGAACAAAGGCAGTGAACTTGCCCCAGTTTGGGGCGTTGGGGGGGGGTTATTTGCATGGCTGGACTGGCATTTCCTTGGTGTTAGCTACAGGTAAAGTCAGTCCAGCAAACAGATCCTGTAAGAATGACTGGGGCCGCGCTTTCTTTGGGACCATTTGTTCATACAGATAAAGAACCTCTGAGACCCCATTCCCAAGTCCCCCTCCTCCCTCACCCCCCCCCCCCATCCTGTGACAGGGCACTAGATCTTCTGCTCACAAGGCGGCACTTGCAGCTGGAAACTGGGCGTCTGCTGGGTTTTTTGAGGCCAAGTACTTGGGGCTGGGTTTCTCGGTCTGAGTTTCTGAGGTTGGGCACTGAAACCTGGGCACTTGTGGCTAGGTGCTTGGACTTGCTGTCTGGGTGAGCGGACCTGTTTCCTGCCCTGACTTCTCCGTGGCCGCCACGGCACACGGCTTCACATGAATGACGCTGCTGTCTTGCCCGGCTGGCGATCTTCGGAGACGGCAAAGGCAAGAGAAAGCTGTGCCCAGCCTCTTGACGTGCCTTCCTGGGACCCCTTTCCCTCCTAACCAGGAGGCCTGAGTTTCCTAGCCTTCCACCCCTCCCCCCAGCCATCTGCTTGAAGGAAGTGGTTCCTCAGTTCTTCACAGGAAGCCACAGGCCTCTTCTGCTTCAGCAACCTCCAGCTGCTGCTGGCCCAGGCCCCTTTCCAGGCCGGCCTAGTGACGCCCGGTTCCTAGCATCTCCCTCTAACGCCAGCAAAGAAGCCTGTGTGGCGTGTTCCGCTCTTTTTCTTTTTAATCCTTTTGGCCACGTCTGGGGCACAGGCTGTGGACCTGGACCATAGCCCCGATGGCAAAGGGTCCTGGATTGTGGGACCGAGGGCTTGCAAGGGAGCGCGGGAGGAAGGTCCTTCAGAAATCCCGAGGATGATCACTCCGGCGTCCTGGGTTCCTACTGCAGAGCAGAAGCCGAGTCCATCCATTTCAGTCTCGGAAGACAGCGCTGGAGACTGCCCCAGGGAAGGCTTTTAGTAATTGCGGAGCAGCTCAAGGATAATGAGGGTTGAGGTAGAGTCTAGCCCGGGACTATACTGCCACCTGGTGGTCATGGTCGTACACAGCACCACGAAATTGTGGGCGCCTTTGGAGGGGCAGATTGTTGAAAGGTACTCGGGCCTGGAAGGCCCTTAAAGAATAAGAAAACTTCTAGACCAAGGGATTTTAGGAAAGGTCAGGACTCCTCTAAGTCAGCTGAAATGGTATGCCTGTAGTCCAGCGCCCGAGGAGGCTGGCGCAGAATTGTTGAGCCGTGGGGTTCAAGGCCAGCCTGGGCAGCCCAGCAAGATCTTGACTCCCCCCCGCCCGCCCCCCAAAAAAGGCAAAGGGCGGGAGAGATGGCTCAGCAGCTGCTGCTGTCCCAGAAGACAGAAGACAGAGGTCCCGTTTAGTGACTCACAATGACCTGCAACTCCAGCTCCTCCCTCTTCCGGCCTCCATGGACACGGACACACACATTTTTTTAAATCTTGAAGATAACAAAGATACCAACCACCTCTACAGTCAGCACTTGGGAAGGACATCCTTGATCTAGACGATACTCCACTGACCCCGTTTGACAGACCGGGAAACAGAGGACCAGAGATGAGCTTCACACCGTCTTACAGCAAGGCCATCAGAAACTGGGGTCTAATTTTATTTATTTTTTTTTATACTTGGGATTGAGCCCAGAGCCCGTAGAGTCTAATTTGGAGCTCATCTTAACATGTGGCTCCGGAGGAAAGAGCTCCCTCCGCCAGTTTCTAGTCACCCCCGTTTGTGACCAAACATGGCATTGCCCAGCACCACCACCACTTCAGTCACCAAAGTTGGCACTACAAGGTGGCTTTTCCCAAAAATAAACTCCACTCCGAGGCACGAGGATCTGAGAAGGCCAGGGGTTACGGAGTGTGTGCTTTGGGCTCAGCAGACACTTTAGAACAGGAAGCCCACGGGGCTGGGGAGATGACTCGGTCACAAGAGCTTTGCACACTTCCAGAGGACCCGGTAGGTTCCTAGCTAGCACCCACGTCAGGGGCTAACAGCTGCCTGTGACTTTAGTTCCAGGGGATCCAACGCGCCTTTCTGGACTGTGAGCGCACGCACACGAACACACACTTAAAATTTTAAATTAAAAAAAAGTTTTATTAAAAAACAACAAAACCCCAACCACTTTAGCGGAGGAAACCCACAGGCTTTATTTAAAGAAAAGGGAATTGGGACTCCAAGAATGCACGGCACTTGTCAGGTCCCAGCCCCGCAGCTGGGCAGGGACTCAGCTGTGGGCCTGTTCGAAGGCCACTTCCAGGGAGAAGTCTACAAGCCCGTAGATGTCACATGCCCCTCCTGCTGTGTCGTCATGCTGTCTGGTGCTGTGTGAAGGCCGTGGCTGAAGTCTGTGAAGGCTGACGAGGGTTCTGGTTGGAAAAGAAATGGGGGTGAAAAGGAGGTGAGCCGGAAGGAAGGGGAAGCCTCGTGGATCCAGTGTGAGCTGCAAGCAGGCAGGAAGTGGGTCTCTCTTGCTGTGGGGTCCTTAGCCCCTGGCTCAGTGCCTGGCGTAGACTGATTACTCAGTAAATGCCTGTGGGAGGGAGGGGAAGAATTAAGTTGCATTCTGGGAGAATACTGTGAGGAGAAGAAGGGCCGGCCATTTTCGGTGTGATTCAGCCTGAGGATTGCTGGGGCCCGGGATTCAGAATACTGGGGACATACACCAGCAACCCTAATACTCAGGAGGCCGAGGGAAGAGGACAGTCTCCAGTTTGTAACCAGACTGTCTCAAAAACTAATTAATTACGAGGTTAGAGAGATGCCTCAGAGGTTAAGAGCGTTCAGTTCCCAGAATCCAGCTGTCTGTAACTTCAGTTCCAGAGGATCAGACACTCTCTTCTAGCCTCCTCAGCCACTAGGCACACACATGGTACACAGACATACGTGCAGACAAAAACACCCACACACATAAAATAAAAATAAATAAATCTAGCCAGGCAGTGGTGGTGGTGCACGCCTTTAATCCCAGCACTCAGGAAGCAGAGGCAGGTGGATCTCTGTGAGTTTGAGACCAGCCTGGTCTACAGAGTGAGTTTCAGGACAGGCTCCAAAGCTACACCGAGAAACCCTGTCTCGAAAAACACACAAAAAAATTTTTTTTAAATCTTTTAAAAAATTATTCATTGGCTGGGTGGTGGTGGTGCACACCTTTAATCCCAGCACTCGGGAGGCAGAGGCAGGAGGATCTCTTGAATTTGAGGCCAGTCTGGTCTACAGAGTGGGTTCCAGGAGTACCAGGACTATACAGGGAAACCCTGTCCCGAAAAATCAATATATAAAAATTTCAAAGTTAGCCATGTAGGAGCAGAGCTGCTTTGATGGTGTCCAAGGGAATAAGTGGATGGGGGGGGGCGCTCCAGGAGGGAGGGGACCAAATCTGATGTCCATCTTTGGGAGAAAGGAAGAACTCTGAGCACCTAAGAGCAAAGCCGGGCTCCGCAGTTGGATTTTCCGGTCCCGAGCTCTTCCTTGGCTATCTCCGAGTCTCTCTTACACACCCTCACTTACTGCGGTGGCAGCTGACATTTACCGAGCGCTCGCTGCCTGCCAGGTACCCAGCTCCAGCCTTCCTATGCTGTGCCTCTGCCTCTTCTGCACATCTGCCAGGCATGCTTCTCTGGGGCCATGCCAGTGGTGGCCAACAGCTGCTATCTGCAGAGATTGGCCCTGGAACAAAGGCAGGGACAAGCAGGACAGGTAGACGACGACGACGTGACTCCTGAGAGGCATGGGCAGAGGAGGCCGAAGGGCACCTGGCTTCAGGTCCCTCCTCACTAGTGCTGTCCTAGCTCCAGACATCTTGAAATCATAGCTCTCGGGAAAGCAGCTTCGACCATTCACAGAGAGCCCTCTCCCAGGGGTCCAGGTCTTCCCGGCAGACTTGGCAAGCACTGAACCCACTCAACAGTGTGCCCAACCAGATGAAAACCATAACATGGTTCTTCGTCTTTAGGGTTGGAAACCACGCCACCCCTGTCCTCTTGGTTATTTGTGTGGTAGTTTTTTGAGACAGTCTTGATATGTAGTTCAGGCTGGCCTTGAACTCTGGATCCTCCTGCCTCGGCCTTCCAAGTACTGAGATTACAGGGGTGCGTCACCATGCCTGGATTTGCTGTTATTGTTTGATTTATCAGGTCTTCTTGACCTTCTGCCTTGGTCTGGGCACTGCGATGTCCCTGGACACTCCTCCCCAACACAGACAAACATGAAATTTGTCAACACAGCTTGGACAGTGCTTCCCTTCCAATTACCCCTCAAGAGGTCTGTGGGCTCCCTGGGCAAACCTTCTCCTCTGCCCTGGAGCTTTGTGAGGACAGGGAGGCCTCGCCAAGCCTTCACAAAGTAACTTCTCGTGCATGTACACACACACACACACACACACACACACACACACACACACACACACACGGCAGTTTGTATTCTCCATCCAAATAGGGCCACCAAAATGTTTCTTCAGAGACTGGAGACCCGCCTTCTCCACCCCTGCCTAAGCAGAGAGTATGGAGCCAGTCGGTACAAAGTCTGGGTCAGGGCTCAGCTCCTCCCCTCCAGGAACCTGGACAGGAGCACTCCAGCTTCACCGTATAGGAGGTCAGCGCTGAGGAAGAACTTCAGGGGAGACAACACGCAGAACAGCAAGGGAGAGTTTTCTGTAGGCAGGTGAACTTTAGAAGGACACTCCAGACAGAGAACAGCTTGTGCTCTGGGCCAGAAACAAAATCAGCTGGTTTTGTTCCAGAACTGTGGTTGACGTGAGGAGACATTGAGGGTGGGGGCGTGTGGCTGAGGCAGGCCCCAACCAGGTCTTCCCGGGCTGCTCACTGCCTGGGTGATTCACAGGACACAGTGTCTTCTCATCTAGGTCACTGGAGAGAGCGATAGAGAAGTTCTGGGCTGTGGCTGGAAGAGGAAGGGCAAGGACGGAGGAGAGGGTTCTTGGGAGCCTCTGGTTATTCCTCTCTCTCGTCACCACCCCCTTTGTTTGCAAGGTGCTTGGAGACAGTGTAGCCCCAGAGGATGCTGCTGCGCAGACACCCGAGACAGGTCTCCGGGGCCCCAGAACAGGGCCTGGGAATCTAAATATCTGAGAACCAGTGGTCAGATCCAAGCCTCTGAAATCCAGATGGAGAAGTCAAGGCTCAGAGAGGGCCTTCTGTGAAGTGAATCTCATTTCCAAACTCACAGAGATCCACCTGCCTCTGCCTCCCGAGTGCCGGGATTAAAGGTGTGCCACCATGCCTGGCCTTCCTAATACATGTCATTAGTAATGAATGCTGTGGCAGCTGCCTCTGTGGAGACCCCCGTGTAGTGCTGGAGGGTTCAAAATCACAGCATCATTTTATCTCTGTGTGACAGCCCTGTGACGTGTGAGGGGTCACCATCTCACAGCACCAGGGCATTTGCAGCCTTGTCCAATCCAATCCCCAGCCACGGCGCCTCCATCCGTCCCTTCCATCATTTTTGTATGGTTGGTTCGGTTTTTTGTTTTGTTTTTTTAAAGATTTATTTATTATGTATACAGTGTTCTGACTGCAGGCCAGAAGAGGGCACCAGATCTCATTACAGATGGTTGTGAGCCACCAGATAGTTGCTGGGAATTGAACTCAGGACCTCTGGAAGAGCAGCCAGTGCTCTTAACCTCTGAGCCAGCTCTCCAGCCCTTGTTTTGTTTTTTAAGACAATGTCTCACTATGTAGACAAGGCTGGCCTCCAACTCACAGAAACCCACTTGCTTCTGCTTCCAAGTGCTAGCCAGGATTGCAGCCGTGGGCTGCTACACCCAGCTGAGGTGAGAAGGGTCATTCATCCCCATTGTCAGATGAGGACACTAAGGCTTGGTGGGACTTGGCCAGTGTCTCCATGAGGCACTAGCCTAAGAGGCTAAAAGCAGGGCTTCTGAATGAGACTGACTGGGTTTGGATGCTGCCGCCGGTTGTGAGTGGTTTCAAGATCTTAGGTAAAACCAAACTATAATGCTGATGTCTGGAGGTGGGGCAGCACAGGGAAGGAACGTGGTGAGGGCCCCAAGTGCCGGAAGTCTGTACCCTTTGACCCACCTCTGCTGTGTACCCCAGGGCTCCAGAACCCCAAAGCACTGTCCTCTGAGCTCCCTGACGGGGAGTGCCTGAAGGGGCACTAACACAGTTGAAAACATGGGTATTGGAGGAAAACAGGGGTCCTATTATGTGTCTAGTGCTCCCGAATGCTTCTAGAACTAGGGGGTTGGGACCCTCTGATTTTGGAGCGTCTTACCAAAGAAAAGGGACTTTCCCCAGGCACTCGGCTTGATGAGGCCCCACTTGGTGGCCGTAGATTTCACTGGCAAGTGACGACCCGGTAGCAGAACTGTCATTGTAACAAACATTGGAACTGACTGAGCAGGGATTTTTTCCTGGGACCCTGGCTAACTCTGCGCTGCCTCTTGTATGTAATAATTGCACCCCTCCGCCCATGGCAGAAACTTGTCTGAGTCTCTATGGTTGGGATCCCGAATCTCTACCCCCACCAGGGTCTCATCATGTGGCCCTGGCTGGCCTGGAATTCGCTGCCTTTGAGCTGCTGTCCCCCAGTCACTCTGGATCCTTACCTGCCTTCCTTTATCCACTTGAAGAGGCAGAAAGTACAAGAACGATACCTCCTTTTGCCGCACGGTGGCGCCTTTCAAGGACTTTGCCCCAGGACTGTAAAGTCAGAACGGGAGACCTGGGGCCTTCAGACCCCTTTGGATCTATTGTTTCTCTTTCTGATTTGATGGTCGGTTGGTGAAAAGAAAAAAGGAAAAAGAAGAGGAGAAGGGGGAGAAGAAGAAGAAAGTAGGATGTTGCAGTAAACTGAGACTAGAACCCTGTCCCTCAGGAGCACCAGCAAGGTCTGTGTCTCCTTCTTTCTCCCTTCCTTCCTTCCTTCCTTCCTTCCTTCCTTCCTTCCTTCCTTCCTTCCTTCCTTTCTTTCTTTCTCTTTCATTTTTTGAGACAGGGTTTCTCTGTGTAGCCCTGGCTGTCCTGGATCTCACTCTGTAGACTAGGCTGACCTCGAACTCACAGAGATCCACCTGGCTCTGCCTCCAGAGTGCTGGGATCAAAGGTGTGTGCCACCACCGCCCAGCCGTGTCCTTTCTTAAGTTCTGCTCCACCTGGTGGCCATGCGTACAGGTAGCTGGCATACAGTTACAGACGTCTGTTAGCAAAGGCAGGCTTATGCCTGTCATCTCTACACTTAAGAGGCAGGTGGACTGATTACACAGAGTTCCAGGACAGCTTAGGCTACATAGTGACTTCCAGGCCAGCCTGGACTACAAAGTGAGATCTTAGATGATGAGGATGATAAGAATGATGATGACGACAACGATGATGATGATGATAACAGCAGCAGTAGTAATAAATAACGGGGGCTGGAGAGATCACTCGGTGGTTAAGAGCACTTGGGGCTCTTGTAGAGAACCAAGGTTCAATTCACAGCATCTATATGGTGGCTCTCAATCGTCTGTAACTCCAGCTCCAGGGGATCCAACATCCTCTTTGGACCTCCTCAGGCACCAGGCATACACATGATACACACCCATGCATGCAGGCAAAACACTCGTACACATAAAATGAAATAACTCTAATAAATAAATGACTAAAATGTAATAAAATAAATAAAAACCCATGATGTGGGTAACATTATTGCCAACCATGCATTGCAGATAAGAAAACTGGGCCTTGGAGATTCTAAGTAACAGTTCCAAGGCTTCGCAGTCAACGAGATGAAGAGTCGGGGTTTAAATCCACTACTCACTGGTGCTCACGGCTACACTTGTGACAACCATTTCAGATGGCTTCATCTGTCCTCAAACCTTAGGAAGAGTGGCTTAATCTCCATTAAAAAGCCATTTGTTTGTTTGTTTGTTTGTTTGTTTCGGGGTGTGAAGGGGAGCATGTGCCCTGGCACATATATGGAGGTTAGAGGTCAATTTGCAGGAGTAGGTTCTGTTTCCATCATGTGTACTCTGGGTATCAAGTGAAGTCAGGTTGTCGGGCGTGACCGCGGCCACCCTAATAGCTGAGACTTCTTGACGCCCCTTTCCATCCCATAGAGGAAGTGACTCCGGGGCAGTGGCGGGGTTAAGGGTACAGAGAGCTGAAATGACATCTCTAAGCTAGGTTTGCGGCTCTCACAGATTTCCATTCCGTCTGCTAAAAGCCCTACCTTCATATTAGTCACAGCCCGGGGCATGAAAGCAACCCAAGGAGTCTGCCTCCCTAATACGCATTCAGGCTCACAGGCAGGCAGCGTGGGGGGTGGGGCAGCTTTGCACCCACACTTCCTGCCTCCTGGTTTTACCTTGGAGGAGAGAAGAAAAGCCGCGTGGCTGCCCGGAGCCTGCTGATAGATGGGTGCTGCAGGAGGAAGCGACTTTCTGGCTGGCTGAAGGCTGGCTTTTTATAATCATGTTGGATCCCCTCCACCCTGCCCCAGGCAGCCAATCCCCATCAGAGTTTCCACTTCCTGCACTATGCAGAGTTTTCTGGTCTCTTCTCCAGCATCTGTGCCCTGCCTGCTGGCAGAAGATTGTAATTCAAGCCAGGAACCTTGGGAACAGCCAAGAGTATTCAAAGCCTGTCACGCCACTGTGGGAGGCACCGCCCTATTAGGCTTAGTGGAGCTGACCACCAGCTTCCCTTAGGGCGCAGAGACCTTTCAAAAGCTGACCCAGTTAACACTCAAAGCATTTATTGAGCACTTGCTGCATGACAGGGCCTGCATGGAGTGCTCTGTGAATATGAGGCCTTTCCAGCTCCACAATGGTCTGATGAAGTACCATAGCCGTTTATAAACCCGGCAAGGTTTGGGAATGAAGTCACTCCCTTCCATTGTTCTCTCAGGCTGGCTACTTCTGAGTGATAGGTGTGTGGTAAAAATGGTAAGTCCGTGTGCATATGGCCACTGTCACATTCCCCCTGAAATGGGCTCCTGGCTTTAATGAGTGGATGAAACAGTATTTATTTGTTTAATTGCTTATTCAGCAGGGCAGAGTCTCATGCGTACCAGGCTGGCCTTGAACTCCTTTGGTAGCTGAGGATGACCCTGATGTTCCTCCTGCCTCCACTTCCTGAGTGTTGAGAATATAGGTGTGCACACTCGGCCTGGTTTCTTCCTTCA